CGGCTCCAGGACTGGGTGTTAATTTACCTGCTGCTTTAGCTCATCAAGAAACACTCACATCTTGCTCTGTAATGGATCACGCAGAGACCAAAGTTTGTAGCTAACTGTGTTATCTGCACTCGCTGTGTTAAAACCCTCAACTGAATGGAGGAAGGGGGAATTGAAACAGAGTTTTGTCTCTTTCAGGGAGAACGGTGGGGTGGTTGTGACTAAGAGGAGGAAATCTGAGCTCTGCTCCTGCATCTCCGGAAAGCCATGTAGTTTTCCCTGACTCTTCTTTCCCCCTTGGGCAATGGGTATGGAAGTGCCCGTTCCCCCAAGGCCACCGATGTCTGTAAGAAACACTGAGCTGGACACTTCTGCGGAGCAACGCAGGTGGGAGATGCACAGATCAACCATGTCCTGCTTCTCATTTCAAGTTCCAAGAAAAATCGGAGCGTATTGCCCCAAAACGGGTGCAGGAAATGCTTGTCTCCTTCCACCGGATACAGCTGATGCATTAGCGCAGTGAGGGTTGGGTTGGACTTGAGTGGGCTTCCCTCAACCCACAGCAGCACGACCTGGCTCAACGGAAGTGCTGAACCAAACCTGAGCAGCTGAGGGAAGGGACAGGATTAATTTTGGCAACAAAAAGCTTTTCCTGAAACAAAAGCCTTTGGGTGCAGTCACAAACCACAGCTTGAGGTAGACTAAAGGGGCTGTGCCCCCCTGGTCCTGCCCTTCTCTCCCCTCGATGCTCTTGCTGTCTCCCTCATACCAGCGTTGGAAAGCTCCCGACCTCCTTCATTTGGTGGCATTGCCTGGTAAGGACACCCATGCTTAGCTTTTGGCAGAAAGTCAACAGGACTTGGGCGTAACAAGATACAATACGTTTGCTAAGCAAGTGTTAGAAGATTGCTGCCGGAACTTGGTTTAATTCATTGGGCCCCCGTTCCTCTCCCACCTAAGCCAACTCCGCCAGCCACAAAGCAAAAGTTGGAAAAAAAGCTGTTTCCTACCCAGCAGGGACTCCCATTAGGTACAGGCAAGAGGTACAAACGCAGGCGGGATCTGCTGGCCCCTGCCACATATATGCATTTTGCAGGGGAGATGTTTCAACCACATCTGCAGAAACTACTGCAGGCAGAACCGCCTCACTGCATAGGCAGCGCTTTGCAGAAGAAGCTGAGCAAGCAAAGCAGGAGCCTGCACGTCGGGCAGGGGCATGGCATCTCCGGCAGTGCAGCCTGCTATCAGCCCTAGTTCTCTCCAAGGAAAAGAGCCTCGTGTCAGCAGCCAGGCAAAAACTATAAACATTTTAATAACATGATCCACAAATAGTCATTTAAAGAATAAAGTCTGAAGTCCTGTTTGAAATCAAAGTCTACGGAAGAATTAGGCTTTGCAGGAGCAGATGGGTTTCTGGCATCCCACTGCATCTACCCAGCACTTTGGAGATGATGCAGAGTGGCTTCTCCCAACCCCTTCCTTGAACAAATACCTTTACACAAAACACCACCGAGCCCAAATAACTCCCAGCACACCGTGAAGGCAGAGGGAGGCTACCCACCAGCACCCATTTTTGGGGTGGAAGTCAACTTTTTGACCTC